CTTCCCCTCCTCACAATGCGTTAACGCCAAAACAATACTATGATAGGAATCTAGGTGGATGGGTTGCAGAATCCATGAATCAATTATATGGTGTCGCTTGACTACAGATTACGTATTCGAAACATTTAGAGCAGAGACTGCCTCTTTCCGAAAACCATTTCGTCCATTGTGTGGCTCACATTTTTTGTAGCACTAATATTACGGCGAATTTATGAATTTACGGAAACGTGTCTGTACTGATGTGGACAGCGAATGTGCAAAGGTCGGCTACCACGTCAGAGCCATGAAAAAGTAGAGGACCGTTGAAATGATAGCGATATTGCTATGCATAGTGAAAGAACACATAATCGCTGGGTATCCCTATCAAAGGACGGATTCGGTCGTATTAGCGCAACGGTGTTACAGAAGGCTAACATTTTTGATTTTTGAAGAAAAAAACGTTCTATGTTCTACCAAAATAGGTAGAATCGCTAAATTCATAATATGCGTTGCAGTAGCAAAGGGCGCTTGGTTCCAGGAAGGGATACATAGGATAGGACACAGACATCGATGGTGATCGACAGTACATGATAACAGCTTTTATCTACGAAAACCCTTCCCGACGTTTTACTTTTTTCTTTGCAGATATCTCTAAACTATGACGACTCAAATCATGAGAAAAGTTGCCTGAAAGTGTGGCTACAAAAAAAAGTGTCCCAAAGAAAACTAAACTAGAAACAAAATCGCCAGTAGTATGACTTCCTTGAAATACTGAGTTCGCCGCGCAGATTTTCAACCTCGATCTTCAAAAGCGAAAATCACAGCATTGATTAAAGCAATTGGCACGATAATTTGGTACTCCCAATCAGCCTAAAATGCTATCTTGTTGGAAAATTGAGAAAAAACGAAAAGAAACGGTCAGCTGCGGAGAAAAGCCTTCGTTTAGTGATTCAGAAAGCAATTTCGGACGAATTTCTCGCTGGCGTCGTCCCTGCCTACCGTTTCATATCAATCCCTTCAATTCTTTCCACCAAGCAAATGGAGCAATACGAGCATTAGGTACGGTTGACCATTTGTGGGCGGGCGAGCGCGGTAGGCGACCGTACCTGATGCTCGTATTGCTCCTTCGCTTGGTAAGAAGAAGCGGAGGGATTGATATGAAGCGGTAGGCAGGGACGACGCCAGCGAGAAATTCGTCCGAAATTGCTTTCTGAATCATTGAACGGAGGTTTTTCTCCGCAGCTTTTTGACCGTTTCTTTGCGATATTTCTCAATTTTTTCCACAATATAGCGCCCTGCTAGCATTTTAGGCTGATTGGAAGTACCAAATTATCGTGCCAATTGCTGTGATTTTCGCTTTTGAAGATCGAGGTTGAAAATCTGCGCGGCGAACTCAGTATTTCAAGGAAGTCATACTACTGGCGATTTTGTTTCTAGTTTAGTTTTCTTTGGGACACTTTTTTTAGCGATTCTACCTATTTTGGTAGAACATAGAACGTTTTTTTCTTCAAAAATCAAAAATGTTAGCCTTCTGTAACACCGTTGCGCTAATACGACCGAATCCGTCCTTTGATAGGGATACCCAGCGATGATGTGTTCTTTCAATATGCATAGCAATATCGCTATCATTTCAACGGTCCTCTACTTTTTCATGGCTCTGACGTGGTAGCCGACCTTTGCACATTCGCTGTCCACATCAGTACAGACACGTTTCCGTAAATTCATAAATTCGCCGTAATATTAGTGCTACAAAAAATGTGAGCCACACAATGGACGAAATGGTTTTCGGAAAGAGGCAGTCTCTGCTCTAAATGTTTCGAATACGTAATCTGTAGTCAAGCGACACCATATAATTGATTCATGGATTCTGCAACCCATCCACCTAGATTGCTATCATAATACCGTTTTGGCGTTAACGCATTGTGAGGAGGAGAAGGGGGGAGTGGGATAGTACTCGACGCTTCGGTCAGGGGAAGGGATAGAGAGGTGAGGCGGTAGCATCCACTACAACCGTATTAGTGCCCGTTTCTTCTACTACCTGTTAATGAAACAATGTAATGGACGCGTTTCTGGCAGAACCTGCTCCATGAACAGATCTGAGAAAAATCGAGTATATTTTAGGAAAGAAACCACATTTTGGAACCATTCAGGCGTAAAAGATTTCTTGAATGACAAAAGAGGAGTTTCTTATGAACATATCTTTCTAAGGTGT